CTGGAATATCTTGGTTTTGGATTGGTCCTTTATGTTCCACAATATTTGGTCTTAGTCGTTCTTATTTGCACGGTGCTACGATTGTAAATTAATGATATTGGAACTTGGAAGAACAGTCCACAGACCTGAGAAATGTGGACACTTTTTTGTGTAATTTTTGCTCTTGTTGTGTAGACCGCTGTGTAGCCTATATGGTGAGTTAATCACAGTCAATAAGTCAACCTTCAGATTCATTTGTGATTTTTCTAAATAATATGTTTTTAAAGCACTTGTTAACGCGTCTAATATTCACCTAACTTATCAGATATATATACATACTAACAATTATTATCTTCCTTATATTTATATACTTTTCCTATTTAATCTTACCTAATATCTCTTGTATTTATTTATTTTCTCTAATTAATCTTATATTTTCAAAAATATAAGACCAGAAGGGCACACGCTAGACAGACTAATCATTTGCAGAGAAAATTTTTGGAGAATTCTTGATCGAATTGGAACTTTGCAATTTATGTCACAAAGGGAATTTTATCTTAAAAAAAATTATGCCTTTGATTCAAATATTGAAAAAGTAATTTAACAAAAAATTTTCTTTTATTTTTCCTTTCCCATTTACAAAAATCCAATATCATCACTAGTATAGTATACTATTCATAGTTGTTTCACAAAGAATGGCAACCTTTTTTTTCTTTTTAAGAATGGCAATCTTATTTACCATATTAGTGATTTAGTAATGTAAAAAGGCAAAGACTATTTTTTACTAGCAAGCACCTTGTTTCGATCGACTATACATGAAAATTGACAGACCAAATCCAAATTCCGGAAAAGCTATTGGGCCAACAAAATAGTACTGAAGTAGTAGTAATAGAATTCATTGGGCCGGTCCATAACAATAGACCCTCCTAGTCCTTTCCATATAGCCCTAATACCAAATACAAAAACCCTCATTCCGCTGCTGGGAAATTTGCATTTGCTAGGGTTTTGTTTCGTTCCCACTTCTCAGTCGGCAGCTCAATTTTCAGTCTCTCTCTCTCTCTCTCAGAGCCACCGTCGTTGAAAATGGTAATAAAAAGCCCTTTAATTTCAGTCTTAACGTTAATCTTCATATTAATCTCTGTCTTCCTTCATGGTAAAAGCTTCTTAATTTCTCCTGTTCTTCCTCAGAATCGAGTTTGTAGTGTACTTTTGTACTGTTTTTCTGGGATTGCATTGATTTTTTCGGCTATGAATGTTGTAGAATGGTAATATTAATCATATTCCTGTTTTCCATTTGGTCTGCTCCTTTAAAATTTAGCAAAAATGTTGTGAAACTCTTATAGTTTTCGTTGTGGATGATATTTGTGATTATAGAAGATATAATAAGGGTTGAATGGTGGTTTTGCAGTCGAAGAGAAGGCAAAGGGAGCCGAAGGAGGAGAATGTGACCTTGGGCCCTGCTACCAGGGACGGAGAGCAAGTTTTTGGGGTTGCCCACATTTTTGCCTCCTTCAATGACACCTTTATTGTATGTTTCACATTTTGTTGTATTTGAATATGGGGTGTGAATTTTTTGTTTTTTTATTTTCAGATTTTCTTCTGATTGGAATCTTTAAATTTGAGATCGTTTTTGAGTTTCCTTGTTTTCTTTCCTACCTGCAGCATGTGACTGATCTATCTGGACGAGAAACACTCGTTCGCATTACTGGTAAAGATTCTAGTCTTTTCAATCCTTTCTCTTGACTTTGTGGGAAAAGAAAAGTTTTTGAGTCGTTGTTTTGTCAACTTTTGCATTGTAGAGATTTAAGAAACTAAAATGGCAGTCAAAGAAGGTTAAAAAGTATGTTACAGACACCAATCAGTAAAATCTGAACCCCAAGTAAAATTGGAGCCAATTTTTTGATATTTTGCCTGTTGGTTATACTTGTATCATTTTTAACGTAACTTGATAACTAACTAACTTGGAGAAGGAATATATTGAATCGTGGCTAGTTGGAATTGAAAAATAATGCTTCTTTTGAATTTGCAGCTTCTAATTTTATGGTGTTTGGACGATTATTTTTAAAGATTGCTGTTAAATGCAATGCGCACTTGCAATGTTTTCAAATAAAAGCTTGCTTTTGGTATGAATTTCTTGGTGAAACCATACAAACAGATATTATTTGGGTTGTCATTTGCTCATCTTTCCTACTTGATTTCCTTTCTTTGGAGATAGACAAAATTGTTTTGTTCATGAATATTGTTCCTTTGTTTTGTTCATGAATATTGTTCCTTTCCCTGATGTCTCTCGAGTGATTATAGAATATATTATGTCTAGTTGAATTACTAAAGGGCGTAGTTGATCTTATTGCTGTTACTGGTATCATATACATTTAGGATAGATCTCTTAACTGGGAAAGCAAAATTTGGTCATAGATTTTATCATATCCCTTCTCTTTTAGTTATTTTAGTCACCCTTCCTTGGTTGGATTGTGTTAGTTGTTGAATGTATTTCCATTCATATGACAAGGTGAAGTACTAAATTCTCTTGTTGTCTGGCCTACTTCTGCAGGTGGCATGAAAGTTAAGGCTGATAGAGATGAATCATCCCCATATGCAGCTATGCTTGCAGCGCAAGATATTGCTCAAAGATGCAAGGTCGTTATCACATCCTTAGCTTGATATTCATATTTGGTAAATAAAACTGAATTACTAGCAAGTGTTGTAAGATCTGATAGCCTAATTGCTTGTCTTTTGTTTCATATTAATGGACTTATTTGTTGCATTTTTTGATTACTGCCTATTATTTTTGCTGATACTGTCATCTCTTTGTAATGGTTTTTGCAGGAACTTGGCATCACTGCCCTTCATATTAAGCTCAGAGCCACTGGTGGTAACAAGACAAAGACTCCAGGCCCTGGTGCTCAGTCTGCTCTCCGTGCCCTTGCTCGTTCAGGAATGAAAATTGGTCGTATAGGTAAACATTTTCTTTGGGATCAGAAGCATCATTACTTGCTCCTTTTTTATTCCATATGATGCCCAGGGTTGTTTTAGGTTGGATGCAAGTGTTTTATGAGTAGGTAGAATCTCTGTGAGCCCTTGGCTGCATGCTTCACTATTGGAGGGGTGCGGTGATAAGAGTTATTTGCTTGAACCATACAACAGAGCATCTAATATAGTAACTACAGAAGATAGATCATTCGTCTTAGAATACAATTTGTATTTAGGTGCAACGGAGTGGGTGAAAATGGTTTGCTTTGCATTAAACTGACTGGTGAGTGTACCTGAAAACAAAATAAGTTACCATGGAGAGAGATAACCAGATTAAATGTTTGTTGTCTAAATCTTTCAGTAAAGTGTCACAACAATATCTTGAAGTGAATACAAATGTAATTGGTTTTATTTTGTAGTTTGACATTTTTTGTTTCAAAACTACGAGGCCTTTGCTTGAACTTGAACTCTAGGTGATCTCTAAGCTATCTGTTTTTGAAAAATTTGGTAGAAATTGAAATATCAAAGGACTTCACCAGAAGTTGAAATGCTTGTTGTGAATCAAAAAAATCTTTTTGCTTCTGCTGCTTAATTAATATCTCGTCTCTTGATAAAAATTAGGGAGTCGAACAAGTATTATTTATTTCCTATTCAGAACTGAATTTTTTTGGCATATTCTGCCTGCTATTGGTTTGATTTTGGAGTTCATTAAGTTATCCTAGATTTGGATCAGATACTCCTCATCACATAGCTAAAATATGATTGCACCCTTTTTTTTTTTCTAACATCAGTTTTGGGTGCATATTAACTGACTTGAAAATGTTATTTTCCCAGAGGATGTAACTCCAATTCCTACTGATAGCACTCGCCGAAAGGGTGGTAGACGTGGAAGAAGGCTGTAAGCTTTGGTTCTTATCCAATCTAAACTTCATCACATCAGCAGGGACCCTGATTTTTCGTTGGACATGGTAGTATTGTAGCTTGAGGTGACAGAATTTAGGTTGTATGGAAATGAGGGATACTCATTCCTGCCTTTTTGTTTCCGTGGTGAAATTGGCCTGTCCGGTTCTCCTTTGAGTCTGTTGGTTGCTTAGATCATGGATACTTCACCTGTTAAAATGTATTTGGTTTTTCAACTTATTCGGTTGGCAAGATATCAAGCTTTGAGACCTTTGCGTTGTGCTTTAAAATTTAATTGATGTGTGGATTGGATTTATTAGATTATCCCAGCTATTGTCTGGCTTACTAAATCCCAAGAACAGGTAAAACGAAATAGGACGCTCAAGTGTGTGCATTGTTCTGTTTTGGAAATTCAGTAAGGTGGACTAAACTGATAATTTCTGGCGTTTTCCCTCCATTCTTCGTTCCTCCATTGTTGCAGGTGATGTTTCTTTCCTTTCCTCTCCAGTTAATCTCCCAAACGAGATGCGGGTTTTCATTACCCCCTCTTCTTTTTCTACACCCAGACAAGGCCTAAACTATCGTTTAATTAATTATCAATTTGTGCTGCTGCATAAGCTCCTTTGGCGGAGATTTCCAGAAATAGGAATTGCAGAGAATTTTTCATTACAACTCTACTCGCGTTGTTGGTGCAGCAGCTGATAGGCAATTATCTAGCTGTTTTGGATCAGTTGAAGTCCCAACTGTCCCAGAAATAAGATGCCAATTAATCAAATACCTATACAGCATAATATTGGCACAAGCTCTGGGATGTGCAAATATTCAAGGGCCATCTCGACAAGAAACTTCTATCATTTTTCATCCATCCTAGCTTGGAAAGTTTCAATCGTCGACTATGGTCTTCAGGCTATCATTTTTAATCCAACCTTAGCTTGGAAAGTTTCCAAACGTTGACTTGAAGGTGTAGTAGGTATACGACCACACTTGGTAACTATAAACTAATTCCCCAGTCAGTCTTTTATCTTTACATCTTCAAGTTTCCTACTTTCCCTTTTCATAAGAATCGAAACTCCTACTGATCTGCCCTCTTCAATCAACCATCATACAAATCTTGCCCCCATTTCCTGAATTTCCAAGCCTTGGAGGCAGAGATGGAGTCAGCCAACAACAGACTATTAGAAGATCAATATTCAAGACGAAAAAGGAAGATAACCATCATCATTTCTTTGATCATCTCATTCACAATCATTATCAGTTCAATCATCTCAGTCTTAACCATCCTCAAGCACAAAGTAGAGTCTCAATCACTCTCTAATGCGCCTCCAAGCAAAGCAATCAGAGCCATCTGTTCTCTAACTCCATCCCGCCGCTTATGTTTCAAGCAGATATGGAAACTCCAGCAAAGCCAGGCTTCATCGAAGATTAATCCTTCACAGATATTTGCTCTTTCACTCAGTGCTTCTTTTGATGAGCTCACCATCCTTAATTCCCAAAGGCAGAGGGTAATCTCAAAAGTCAATGCTTCTTCTGCAAGTGTCTTTCCATCTCTACAAGAATGTGAAAGTTTGATCAGTGATTCCCTAAGACTTGTTAACATGTCTGTGACAAAAATTGGGATTGTCCCCGATGGCAACATCTTTAAGGAAACAAAAACCGTTGTGGATTTGATGGAATGGACCTCTGCTGCTAAGGAGAGTCTGGAGAGGTGCAGGGATGAATTGGAGAATGATAATGAAGGATTGGTATCTGGAAAATTTTATTTGGTGAGAATGAAGATGCGGATGCTTGTGACAAGGAAATATCTGGAGAATAGCTCAGTGATTTTGGCCAAGATGGATACTATTCTGGACATGTTTTATCATCCTCTCCAGAGTATTCTGTCAAATTTTATGCTCAGTGCAAGTGGATTTGATTTTGGTATAGTCTTTTTTGGCTCACAGTATTTGTTGTTAGTTTTTCTGTTTTGCCTGTTGGTGCGATTATACTAAATTGCAACAGTTATATGACTTCAGAAATGAGGATGGATGGTCTCTTCTTCTTGTCAAATTTAAATTTCTTTTCCTGACTCTTTAATATTTAAGATCAATCATGTATATACTAGTGATTTACCAAGTCCTAAACCATACATGAGTGAGTATTGAAAAAAAGTTTTTTTTTTTGGGGGTAAATATGCAAAAAAGATTGAATCAAACTCCAAATATTAGATGCATGATGATCTCTTTTAGAGTTTTAGTAGTATTGTTGACTGTTAACTCAGTGTCACAAATTTGGGATTCTTGTAGTTGCATTTACATTAGAAGGATCTTTCAACAAAAATTCTAAAAGATGTATATGTTCTGTCAAGTTTTTGAAGTCATTTATTTGAATTAAAATTTTCCTTATGTACATTTGTCAATATATTGTAGTGTTGCATCTTTCTTTTATCTTTATTCATGGTCCAGGAGTGATAGATTACGTTTCCAAGTTCTTTTCCCATCTCCCAAACCCCTCAGCTTCATAGAACTTTTCAAAAACAAACCTTGAGAATTCAGACGACATTATTTTTACCTAATAAATTCCTTAAATTTCACCTACAATAAATATTCCTTTCTATTTATGGCTGAAAATTTTTCCCTTGTCTTTTCTAGAATCAATTGCAGTTTAATATTAATTCTGTCAATTACAGTTTAATTTCCAATTGATGGTGTTAAAAAAGGGACACAATGCTCGTATAGTCTAATTTCTTTGGCCATGTCCTAATTTGCAAGAGTTTTATTTTTTATTTTTGATAACAAAACATATTTCATTAATGGATTGTTGGAAATCGTCCAGCACGATTGATATACATCGTTGCCCTAATGGCAGATAAAACGTGCACTAAAATTGTAGATCTGCAAGTTAACGGATACAAAAGACCTGAAAAATTAAAAACAGATATAAAAAGTACCATCAATTTTAAAATTATCTTCTCATAGAATAAATCGCTGCAGCCCACTTTGTGCATGTTGCAATCGTCAAATCTGCTAATCAACAGTTGTAAGCTCCAATAAAGATGATGAGATCTGCCGACATAAATCCAAATCTAAAATAAATTCATATATATGACAACCACATTTGAAGTGAATTCAAATTTAAACAATAAAATAAGGAAAAATAACACAAAATCTCACTTAAAACTGTTAGGAGAACAAAAATTCTCACTAGGAATCTTAGGAGAAACAAAGATCTCCCACTAAAAAAATTCAGAGGAGACTTTATTAGAAAAATAACAAAAACGAAACCTATGGACTTGAAGAGGAAGGGATTAAGAGAAAAGGAGCAGCAGAGAGAAGTTGGAGAAGTGGAGAAGAGGAGAAGTGGCTGTCACTACCCCTTTTAGCCCTCTTGGTAGGTTTGCAAGAGTTTTATTAGTTCCCTCCTATTCATGTCAAATTGAGTGCACATCAAATTTTGCTTGACAAATTTGAGAGCAGTCTACCAACGGAGCGAACATTGGATTTTGTTGGTTGGTTAATTTTGAGAGAATTTGACCAAAAAGGATCGAATTGGACAAGTGGGATACTTGTCCGAAAGAGACACAAGATATTTTGTAGCTTGTCAAACAAATCACAAAACCTAATACCACAAAGGACTCAAAAGTAAAATCTAAAATGGAAGAGGTTGAAACAAAACAAGTACTCAACTAAGGGACCAATGGAGTAAATCTGAAATAGACGAGACAAAAGTAGAAATATAGCTAAGTTCAAGGTACTGAAACTGCAATTATCCAAGCACTTGAAATATTATCCTTCTCTTGCCCAATAATTCATTCGGGTGTACTTGTGCAGTGGTGTCTTACAGAGCAATAATGTACTCGGGCAGGTAGAATAATAGTTTGTTGTAAATATGTGTATTTAATTTACATCATCAAGATTTGGTGTATAAATGCATTCAAAAATGGTACCTTTTGCAAATTACATAAACAAATAAACCTACACATATTTAAGTGTGCAATCAAATCGTATAACAAATATATTAATCAAGGAAATGGACACAAACAGTTGTCGGTGTAACTATTTGTAAACAGCGTAATATTTTTTTGAATACATTGTAATTCATTACAAACTATTTATACAGTTTCATAATAATCATATTAATATAATCAACTATTTTCCACGTAAAATTACACATACCAATTATGTCATAGTTATATATCATGATCCCGATCGTATGATTTTAAAATTTATAGGCCCCCAGAACTTTGGTCTAGTGGTAGTAGTCTAGTTAGGTGAGTACCACTGTTAAGGATCGAATTTCCGGTGAAACAACTCACACGGCTTGATCAGGTTGGTGTGGAACACGTGTGAATTAGTCTGGTGATTCAGGATATCACACGTCAACAAATAACAAAAAAAAAAAAAGATTTTAAAATTTATAGTGATAGCTAAATTCGGACCGTAGATTGCTTGGAACGGTTGGTAGGACGTCCATTCTAATCGTATAACAAATATACAATAACCGTATACGGTGACACACACCACAATTGCATCTCTACCTCACTCGAATACAACTAACTGTCTTATCCAAACCAGGGAAACAGAAAGGGCAAAAAATGAGTAAATAAATGCCCAATGCAGCAGTAACAGTTGGCTGACAAATGAGCAAAAAAATACTACTATATTGGTCAATGTTTACTTAGCACTAATTAAACCCCAACTAATAAAACTTGCAATCTCAGACCAAGAAAACCAGACAAAAACTACCAACTCCCAAAGTCCCAATTCCCCAGAACCAAAGTCACCAGGCCGCTATGGACAACTTCCAAGCCACCAGCAAACTCAGCCTCATCGAAAACCAACGAAAACAACAACAGCAGCAGCAGTCTTCTTCATTATCCTCAAACCTTAAACGAAACAAAATCCTAATCAAAACCTTCTTCTCACTAATCATCCTGTTGGCTTTCATTACAGGTGCAATGGTCATAAATCTCATCCATAGGCACAACAAATCCCAAGAAAAGCTCAAACTCGACCAACAGACCGAGTCACTCCGAGGTTTCTGCTCCGTGACTCGGTTCCCGGATCACTGCCTCAACTCAGTCATTCTCCTACCTGACAACAGCCCAGATGATATTTTCATCGCATCTCTCGATTTAGCTATAGAACGAGTCGTCAACCTCACTGTTCTCGCGAGGGCTCTGATCTTGCAGTCAAGTTCTGATGCTGCTACTGAATCAAGAAACGAGTCAGCCCTGTTCAGGTGCTCGAGTTTGATCGATGACTCTTTGAACCGGCTCAACAGATCTTTGACTGCCTCCGGTGAGTCGTCGTTGTTCGGTCTCCGAGTTGACTCGGGGGAGATGGAAGAACTGGTCAGGGAGAAGAGTAAGGAGGTGAGTTCGTGGGTGAATAAGGCGGCGAATGATCTTTGGAGATGTTTCGGGACTCTTGGGGAAGACAATTCGACGGCTGTGATTGAATTGAGAAGTGGGGTGTATGATGGTATAATGCGCGTGAGTAACATCTTTGATTTTCTCGAATGCAGAGATCGGATAGTTGATGACATTAAAGCTCGACGAGAAAGCCATGAGTACTATATCCCGCCTAGGGATGATTTGGAATATATAATTATATTTTCCCCTCAATATTTTGTTTTGATATTTTTGTTATGGCTACTTTTACGTATTTATTGATGTAAATTGATGAACTATTGTTCAATTATACGTTTTTGTTTCCCTTCCCAATAGTGAATTTTCTTTGTTTTGAGATGTGAGATTCATGATTCCTTGCCTTCTTGGGTTCAATTGAAAATGGCTTGCTTCAATCTTGAATTTATGTTAATTTAGTAAATCTCGATTAAGGTAATTAAATATGCTGTTAAATAGTATAATAGTTGTTTGGAAGGGGTCTTAGAGTTCTCTCCACTCCTTCCCTGCAGGCAGGATTAGAGTTCGAATCGTAGGTAAGTCGAATTGTGAGTCTAATAGCGACGAATTGTAGGTCGGGTGGTGTTTCAGTCCTCACCTGCCCCATAGTCCAGTTGGGTCTCCCCTTAAATAGATATAAATAAAATAGCGGCGAATGACAAAAAAAAAAAAAAGAATTGTGAGTCTGACAAAAATGTGTTTTACTATAGAAATTTAACAAAACTTTGAAATAATTAATCATAAATGACAGATTATTGGTCCATTGCGTTGATTTTCTAGTTGATATAATAGAATAAGATAAAAAGTAACATGCGACTTGAAGAACACGATCCATTGTGAACTTTTTTTTTTTTAATTGTAAGAGGTTTTTAAATTATGGAAGTTGTTCAAATGCCAACCAATTCCTCATTTCCTAAGTAGAAATGTCCTTGGTTGTTGATCAAATCATATACATTGCCCATTGGCAAACTCACTTCTTTATTGTTGTCAATGTTCATATTTCATCTTTCAGAACTTTTATAACATCCAAGCAATTTTTTATTCTGATTCCTAACACCAAATGATCCTGTAAGAACATTGATCATCAAGACAGAAATTTTCTAATCTTGATGGCCTCTTTCATCATCATGACAAAGTGCAACAAATTGCAAGTTTGCAACAATCAAAGCAAGAAGCCAAATCAAAATCATACTTCAAAAAATCCATCATCTTTAATTATTACTGAAAGAACTGCATTATCATGACTCCCATCATATTAATTGGGGCCACTATTTTCTCATGGCCGTGATATACACAATTCACAAGCTGTTGAGGTTGTAAACATGAGGATTATGGCTTGTGATTACCGCATTTCTATCATGAGCCTTGGTTCAACGATGTATCCGACAGAGCCTATATGTCAAATGTATTGAACTTAAGAAACACTTCAAGGCAAATTAAAAAAAAAAGAAAGAAAGGAAAAGGTGAAAGTGCTAGTGGTTTAAGCGAAGAAGAAAGAATTATGATAACTTATTAGATATTAAGAAATTGAAAGTTGAAGAGGATCAATCTGTTGTGATTTGTGAAATGGTGATTATATCTAAATGTGCAAATTGGTTTAAAGAGCATAATCTTTAAAATTTCCTCCCTCAGGGTATGTTTAAAACTTGGGATAATTTCAGAAACCTCCCCTGAGGTTTTTGATAATTTCACATGGCAATGCTAAAATTTTAAAAATTACACCTACCTCACTTGCTTATTGAAAATGACAAAACGAATCTTAATATTTTAATAAAACTCCCTTGTTGCTATGTTTACACAAAGGATGGATTTTGTATTTTTTTTATTCATTTCTCTTATATTTCATTAGAAATATAGAAGAATTATTAATATTGTTCCTAATCAAATATTAAACTACTAATATTTTTTTGATAATTTTTAATATCATCCCTTTTTTGTAGCTCTTTTTTTTTAATCAAAATCAAGAATAAATTAACAATAACTATAAAACAGATGAGCCAAAAAAATCACTACCAAACTATAGCAGTTCTATCATTGAACTGGTCCAATAAAAAAAAATAGTCCATAAACTTAAAAAAATAGATAACTTTTTCTTCTTTATCTTAAAAAAAGTAGCCTATTACAACAAAAGATTTATTATTATAATTGTTTTTCTTGATTTAATGTTTGCATGAAAAACTTGACACTGATTTCCTTTACTCCATTGTGCCAAATTATTTTGGTGACCAAAGTGTCTAATCAAGGTGATAAGTGTAATTTCAAGACCTTGAGTGAAGAAATGAAATAGTCAGATTAGGGGAGGTTTTTCAAATTATCCCTTAAAATTTAGTGCCATATTCACTGGCATTGCTGAATCCCAAGAGTGAATTTGGTGAATCCCAAAACGGTGACATAGATGGTGTAACGCTGTTGGCTCTACCTCTTCACACAGAAAGGCACACAATTTGCATATGCTTGTTACTACAGGGATCTTCATCTGCTTTTTCACTCAAGAAATCAAAATAATCACAACCTACTGTACTAATCAGCGATCTCAAACAAAAACCAAAACATTTCGAGCCACATCGAGGCATTCAACGATTCCTTCATGGTCTCCAGCTGCAGAGTAAGCCTATTGCAGGCTCAATCACAGCAATCATCATCAAGAATTCTACAACCTAGATCCCACAAAAGCCTCACCATGATCATCTCCTTCTCGTTAATCATCCTGGTTTCTGTCATCACAGGCACCATAATCTTATCCCACCTGAAAAATGGTAAAAACAACCACACCACCGAGTCACTCAGGCCAAACTCAGCAAACTTGAAGACCTTATGTTCCGTGACTCACGACCCTGAGTTATGCTTCACCTCTATATCCCCCGCCATCGAGGAAACTGAAACCGACCCGGATGATATTTTCGCCGCCTCTATCAAGGTAGCCATTGCTAATATCACCGGCCTGGCTCCGTTGATGAAAGAAGTTTTACTGAGTTCGAACATGATTGGAGCTGAGTCAGCTCTGGAATTCTGCACGTGGGCATTCTCCGACTCACTGAGTCACCTCGATAGGACTTTAAAGGCAGTACTACTGGAGAAAGAAGGAAACTACCGGGTCTTTTCTTCCGTTGACTTTGTGACGGTGGCGTGGACTTCTGATCGGGGGGAAGACATGATAACGTGGCTGATCAGCGCGTTGAGTGCTTTAGACAACTGTGGTGATATTTTGGATGAGGTTGGGTCAATGGCTGTAAATGACTTGAGCTTGAAGGTGTACAGAGCTAGGGTGCAGGTCAACTACTGCAGCAGCTTTCTCTCGTTTAAAGATCAGATATTGCCATTTTTACTCTTTCATCAGCTGAAAAAACTGACAAAATGGTGAGAGTATATTTTGAGTATTTGCTCACTTTAATTACGTGTATGGACAGGAAATTATTTGAAATTTTTTTTGAAATATTATTGTGACACTTTTTGTGATATAATATATATAAAATGGCTAAAATGATGATATGAAAAATATAAAAATAGGTGACTGAAAAACGTGTTTATGATTCAATCAAATTTTTATTTTTTGACAAATGTTTGGCAATTCAAACCAAACTTTTGCCCTCAATGCCACGTTTTTTATTTTCCACGAGCAATGAATCGGTACTAAAGGTATATATTTGGAATATATACTTATATTCCCCCCACCTCTATATTTTTTTGTCATGTTTGGTTTTGCGTAAATATTGATGTAAATTAATGGACTATAACTTAGTGACACCTTTTCTTAATAGTAAATTTTCTCCCTTTTGAGATATGGGATTCATGTTTTCTTGCTTTCTCTGGTTCAAGGGCTTTTAATCAAGAGCCCTTGATTCAGTGATGGCAAATTCTAAGGTCAAACGTATTGAACTTGGGAAACAATTCAAAGAAACTAAGTAATATAATATGGAAGAAAAGAAAAACTCTAGTACCTCAAGTAAATGACAAAGGCATAGAAGAACTAGTTAAATATTAACAAATTGTAAGTGAGGAGCATCTCTCTAATTGTCAAATAAAATAAACAATGATTTCTTACAGCTAGTTTGGAAGTTTAGGATAGAAAATAAAGGAAGAGAAAGCATAAGTTATGAAAAAAAAAAGAAAAGAAGAGAAAAAAAGAAAATTTAGTATTGATGTTGTTTGAGGGTATAAAAAAAAGGAAATAATATTAGATACATATGTCAATAAAACTTTTTTTAATAAATATTTAAAGATAAAAATGGTATCTTAAAAAAATTTATAATACTTGCTTCAACTTTCTTTCATTTTTTGCCCATATTTGGACCAAATTTTTTTTTTAACTATCAGAGCCATCCATCCAAATCTTCTTATTTTTTTTTCTTTGCTCAACAACTCGAAAACATCACAAAAGAGTTATCTTCTCTCATTTTCTTTTCTTTTCTTTTCCCGTCAAATCTAAGCTCCCAAACTAAACGTTAGACTCATTACATATAGTGGTTAAGTTTAAGACTAAATGTACATAATGGTTTACAGATAATGAATAACCTTCAAATTCTAGTGTCATAATTAGTGATTGTTGAAACCAACAACGTTTGACTCTTGAGCTCGGATGCTTTGCTTTGGCTTTATCTCTTCACACACACACACACAAGGAACAAGCAGTCCTACAGGATCATCTTCATCTGTTCATGCCATCATTCTACTCAGAAATGAAAAACACAAACTGATCAGTCACCTCACCAAAATCAGACCATTTCAGGCCATCATGGACTCGGTCAACGATTCCCTCATGGCCTCCAGCAAAGTGAGTCTATTGCAACACCATCCACAGCAGCCATCTTCGTCAAGAAATCTACTAAAAACCTACAAAACCCTCATCATAATCATCTCTTTCTGTTTTATCATCCTTGCTTCTCTCATCTTAAGCACCATAATCTTATTCCACATGCATAACCGCAACAACTATAACCTCACCTCCGAGCCCACCGAGTCACTCTGGTCGAACTCGGCAAACTTGAAGACCTTTTGTTCCGTCGTGTCTCAGGACCCCGACTTATGCTTTACCTCTATATCCTCCTCTATCAAGGGAACCGAGACCGACCCAGATGACATTTTTGCCGTCTCTATCAAGGTAGCCATTGATAATGTCACCAGCCTGGCTCCATTGATGAGAGAAGTTTTGCTGAGCAGGACTGGAGCCGAGTGGGCTTTGAAACATTGCACCGAGTCAGTGGCCGACTCACTGAGTCAACTCAATAGGTCTTTGACTGCAGTGCAGCTGGGGGCAAAGGAAAACCGCCGGGTATTTTCGTCTGAGGCCCCGGTCGACTTGGGGGTGCAGCCGTTGACTGCTGATCGGAGGGGATACGTGATGACGTGGCTGATTAGAGCAATGAGTGGTTTGGACAGCTGTGTTGATGTTTTGGATAATGTTGGATCAGTGGCTGTAGATGAATTGAGCGTGAAGGTGTACAAAGCTAGGGTGCAGGTCAGCAACAGCAGAGAGTTTCTCTTGTACAAGGATAAAATATTGGAATATTTTGTCATCCATCCAGCTGGTAACACTACTCATAATAGGTTGAGAGTCAATTTTGAGTATTTGTCCACTTTATTTATGTTTTGCCCTGAATACCTTGTTTTGATTTTCCTTTTTTGTTTACTATTACGTATCAATTGAATATTTATTTTTATTAAAAAGAGAATATTGTATTATTGCCTCTAAGCAGGATCTTAATACTTGATTTTACTACGTTTATCCCTAATTACTTTGTTTGTTTATCTTTAATAATTAAGGTGCATTTCAATACTTTTTTCCGTTTTGCCTTGTATAAGAAAAGTTAGAACTATCCAATTTCAAGAGCAATTTACAGAGTGTTCCAAAGTTGAAGGTCTGAACGTCGGATCTCTTACTTACATTTGCTCCCCAACCATCTAATCCATGTTATCCATGATTAATAGGTTACTACAATGAGTTCTCATAGCTTGTCGTCCAAATTGAGTTTCAACTATGACAAAAAACTTTCTAATGAAGTGAGCCACGATTCCTTTTTTTTTTTCGGCTTATACTACCCAACCCGAGTAACAATTTAATTACGAAATCAACAATAGTATGAAAAGTGGTACTTATTCAATTGAAGCAAAAAGCAGTTGCGTTCATCATCTAATAAGTCGATAGGCAAGGACAGATGACTGGGAAGCCTCACCATGTTTGTGAGGACTCGAAAATTATTTTATATTTCTCTTATTTTTGAATATGCTAATTTATATTTTATTTTAATTTACTTGTTTTAATATCTTAGATACTTGAATGGTTGAGTCAAGATTTTTATTTTTTTTCTTTTATAATTTGGTGCATATTAAGTTTCTTAGTACATTATGATAGTGTGATCAACTAGTGATTTATGTGTACTAAATTTGGTGGACAAGAAGGGGTGTGGTGTAAGAGAGATTATGTGACTAGAAGTGTTAAGAGTGAATTAGAGAACACAAGATGGATTGGCTAGTTTAGACACAAGAGAGACAAAGAGATAAGCATGCAACCATAAGCTGCCAAGTGTCAACGATCTAGACATTTTTGACCAAGATTTTCTTTAGTCTTCATCTTTCCAATTTAACCAAAAATTCCTTCATTTTCCATTCTTCTTGGCTGAAATTATAAAGAGAAAAAGAGAGAAAGAGAGTCCCAAGTTCTAGCTTTAATCCTTTGCTTGATTTGTGAGAAATCCGACGAGCAACCATAATCCACTCCATAGATCTTCGAGGTAGCTATTGGTGAAGTTGTTGGAGAGAGAAAGAGATTGTTTTGCATTTCCTCTTAGGGTTTTAAGGTCTATTACTAAGAAACCTTTCATTTCTTTTTTCTTGTGATTTAATCGACACATGAGTTGATTACGGCGGATTTCATGGAAGATTTATTGATTTTGTTATGGTAGCTTGAATTTTTCAGCTTTGATATGAGGTTTTCTAACTTTGAGTTGAATTTCCAGATTTAATAGGAGATGTTCTAGTTTTGATATAAAATTTCTAGTTTTGAGATGCGATTTTCAGTTTTGGTATGCAAATTCCAGCTTTGAGGTGCAAATTTTCAGATTTGATATAGCTTGGTTAGAGCTTTATATAGGTCCAAAGTTGATAGCTTTCTTGACCTAGAACGGAGACCATGTACCCTGTAACATATGATCTTGATCGTTAGTGGTTTTGTCATGAAACTAGGGTTGGAAATGAGAGAGCTAACTTGAAGAATTTAGGGGATATGCTGTTGGAATTTCCCCCCTTATAGGTCAAGTAGAGAGAGTGAGAGTCGAAGTGTAAATTTTGGGTATTTTTGCTTTCCTTTGGTATATGATCTTACTTCAGACACTTGTTACAATCTTAGTCTTTGTATGTGTGTTAGTTTTGCCAAAACAAGAGGTTTAAACGAAAGAGTTTTCTCCAAACTAGTTTCTAATCAGAATTTCCAACTTGTACCTTGAAAGTCTTGTCCCGTTTTCTTTCAACTTTTGACTATAATTACTGACTTTGTGCTCCATATTTTCCTTGAAGTATTGGTTTAGCATGCACGTGGGTTTTTCCTTGGATTTGAACAAGAAAACTTGGCACTTTTGAAAGGTCAATTGGGGTTAAACCTGCAAATCACTTTATTGGCTAAGTGAAGTTTCGAAACTCATAGTTTTGTATTTATATTGGTCTCAAGTGGTTAGATTCTTGATATATTATATGACCATAAGATTTGAGCATGCCCAAGAGGATGAACCAAGGTTTGAAGTGAAACGATTATGATCCATTGGTGAGTGTTCCTTGTGTTTTGTGAATTAAATGTCTTTATTGTGGTTTGACTGTTAATTGTATTTCAATGATCACTTTACTATTAATAGGTGAGTGTGTACTTTACCGCACTTGACTTAAGTGAATGTGAATTTTTCAATGGTCAAATGATTGAATATTACTTGTGTATGAATGTAAACCATGTGTACTTTATCACATCTATTGAATTGAGCCCTTGCCCTTCGTCGCTAGCCTATTCGAGCCAGAAGCGGACTCGATCGGGTAGGTTGGTAACCTTGGACCACTGTTTCGGTATGTTCGAGTATTACCACGAAATCAGGTGGAGTATTGGCCAATGATTGAAATGCAATGAATGAAATTATTGAAATGAAATGACCAATGTAGGGATTTTTGTTTTCAAATGTCGGAAGTTATAAAGAAGAGATGGGCAGAGACTGAATGAATGAATGAATGAATGGCTCTAAATGAGCTCGTATCCTTTAAATGATTGAGTGTTTATTTTTTGAATGCCTTGCGACTGTTTATTACTGTGCAAAGTGTGTAAAATTGTTAAATGCAACATTTTCGTGATTTGACTGGTGTTTTGCTTGGATGTTAAATGCAATATTTTCGTGATTTGACTGGTGTTTTGCTTGGATGCTTGTTTGGGAAACTCACTGGGCGCAAGTTCAGCCCATTAGTTTGTTTTCCTTATAGGAGTTGAGGACCGGAGCAGAAAAGCTTGAATTGGAGTGTAATGATCCTCTTGCACATGTACTTTTGGCAGATAGGTTGTATTTTGATATTTGGTGGTGTATCTTACGTTTCACTTTTGGTTTGTAACTAAGATTGAATTTTGGTTGAATTGTAAAGCTCTGATGTTAAATTGGGAGGTTTGAAAGGTTATTTTGATAATTTATTGTAGTGAGTCCTGGCAAGAATTGGACAGACGGTCCGCCAAACCCTTGGATACGCCCTAAGGGGAGGTGAAGTCGTCACAATGTTGGAGGCAAGCTTATTTTCCTCTTTATTGGTGTTGAAGGCAAGCTTGCAAATTTCTCTATTCATGCCAAAAAAAAAACAAAAAGAAAAGGATGTAGGAGAAGTATTGACAAAATAGAAGCCCAGTATAACACACAAAGACACCTATATCTTCATATGGATATGCCATGATCTTGTTCCATTTCAGAGATCTTTCTCATCCATGTATGGTTTCCTGCAATTTAGGTAATCAATCCCTGCATGTGAATTTTTTTTTTTTTTTTGTGGAAAGCAGTTTTAGGATATATGCATAATAAGGTTTCAATAGTTGGCTACCTTTGAAATAATTAGCTTCAATAACGGTTTCGCTAGTTTGAAATCTCTAAATAGCAGAAGGTTGTGTAAGCACTTCTTTGGAGATAAAACTTGCTATTGTATTGTTCTATGTCGTCATGCTTCTGGGAATTCTGCAAGTTACATCTAACTTCCTCTAGAAAGACTACTTGGTGTTAATAATTGGCTATCCTAGTTAATTTCTCTAAGGTGTAGCTACAGGAAATAAGTTAATACTATTATTACACGTGTCATCTGCTAAAAAAGATATTGACCTAGTAGGGGCTACTAACATTGGAATGGCAGGTGTCACTAGGGCTGCAATCGAGCTCGACTCAACCTCGATCAATACCGAGTTCGAGCAGATCGTTAATATATACGAGTCGAGCTCGAACAGCCATTTGTTAGGCTTGATAGTTGGACAAGTTCTTCGAAAAACTCAAGTTGATATGAAATTATAAAAATGCCTCTACATCAATTAAAATAGAGCTGACTTCGAGCTTCTTGGAAGCCACAGCTCGTGAGTAAAAAACGAGTCGAGTTCGAACTTTTCTTTTTCTAAATCAAGTTGAGCTGGAGCTTCATTTCTTGGCTTGATGAGCTCGAGTTCGAACTCGAACTCACACATTAACAAGTCCAGATTGGATCGATAAGTTCAAAACTTGACTTGACACGATTCAACTTGTTTGTAGCCCTAGGTGTCACCTTGCCTTCTGTACTGAGGGTCAGGTTGGGCTGTGAGAAACTGTATTAACTTGACGCCTGTAACTAAGTGCTAAAAGGGTAAGATTTGCTGTTGCCATATTATAAACGTTGACATAGTCTTGCTCTCAATGACTCTACTCTATTCAAACTAGTTTCTTTTTGAGTTGTTGCTCTGTATTTGTAAGGTCGAACTTGGGCTTGTATATAGTGTGCCTATTGTTTTTGAGATATCTGTTCTCCTGATAAAAGGATCAGAAATTGTTGTAGGTGTTTTTTAGGGCAATTTTACGTGGTCGTCATACTGTACAAAACTTTGCCTGATTGATCAAAGAACAACTTACTTGTTGGAACCCAAAATCTAGTAAAACTGTAAAAAAAAAAAAAAGCACAGTGATGATAGGAACCAGAGTTAGCTGTTGTTGAAGAAGCCATGTACTTAATTTCCAGATGCTAGCCCATTATTAATACAACAATACAGAATGGCAGATTTCTTTAAGATCCTTCTTGATCAGCGTTTTCTGTGCATAATTTTAGACTTAGCTGTGCCAAAACTCAAAATGTCGGCCTAGATCTCTCTCTCTCTCTCTGTTTCTTTGTTTTTTTTTTTTTGGCCCAGGTCTTTTTTTTTTTATTGAAATGCAACATGTCTGGAGTAATGAATTTGGACATTCCAGAGGCCAATAGAATGTTCTTTTGGCTGCATAATAGAGCAGTAGTTCTAGTTTATGAGCCAAAGTTTTAAATTTTAATGCGTGCATGAGAATATTCTGCAATGATACCGATAACTATTTTGTTTACTCAGGACAGGACATGGGTTCTGTCTGCAATACTACGTAATTTTGGACTCTGTCTGTGTTCTCTTCCGCAGAGAACTTCCATCCACTTTTGTTCTTTAATTGAACTACTCATGCTGAATAATCTCTTTTCAGGACATCATCTAAGGGATTTGTCTTTCTTGGTTACTGTGCTGTTTTCTTTCAATGGATATCTACCAACGTTGCTGCTTATGCTAGTTTTAACATAGTAAAGAAGCAAATCTTTTCATCCCTTTGATGGCTAGATTTGGCTACAGATCAAGTCTTGAGTTATTCAATGGTATAAAATTTTTAGATGCAGTCAAAATTTTATTTTTGTTTTACGTCTCAACTCTCTCTACTTTGCCATTGACTTATATAGGAAAAGGTACATCCTTCTAAAATGGAATATTGAAGGTACATATACGAATCTTTGCAGTATCCCCTCTCCTTGGGGAATGAGTAGTACTTGAAAATTTCTGATGGAGACAAATGAGAAAAAGTAGCTCATCATAGAAAGCTCAAACCTTAAGCTACAAAAATAAAGGAAACAAGGGTAGAGGTTTGCGTTCCTAAAACAACTGATACATTACAATTTATGCTTTGATCAAAAGGCTTATACAATAACTTGAATATAATAAAGGTGCTTGGATTAGGAAACAAGGAGCCGTATGTCCATTTTCTTGTTTTCTAGTGGCATTAGTTCATGACTTGCAAACATTCTGTTGTTGGAGAGATATGCCATCCTTCATTCCATGTCTTATTTTATTTACTCATAAACCTGTTAGTATCTGATAGGAAGTGAGAACTTTTCCATCACTTTGTCTCAAATGAGCAAACAATAAATATGAGGCTCACCTAAATTGTTGACTCATAAGAGGCAGAGATTAAACCAGTTCAATAATTTCTTTTCCAGCCTAGGTCTCCCTTGTCTAACATTATTATCTGTGTGCATGCAACCAATATTTTATCTATGGCTAAAGATTACTACAATGAGTTTTCATAGGTTTTTCACCCAAATTATGCTTACCTATGATAATTGTCTTTCTATAATTTAGTTAGGTTCAATGAGAAATGCTATATTGTACAGTTCGCCTAATATGAATTATTTGGCGTGATTTTCTAGTACTTCAGGTATATTTTTAACTTTTCTTTTGTTTGCCTCGTATGTATTTCTTGTTTCTTATGACATGTGGTCAAGAATGTTAGACATTCTTTTTCTTTTTCTTTTTTCACTTGTTTTATCTTTTCTTTGTAAGAATATAATCGAGTCGAGTCGAACACGAGTAGTACACTACTCGAACTCAATTCAAGTTAAAAAACTTGGATTCGAACTCCATCTCGAGTTCGTCAAACTCTTTAAAATTGAGTTCGAGCTCGAGGTCAATTTTATTTTGCATTACTCAAGTTCGAGTTCGAACTTCTACTCATCGAGTCCAATCGAGTTTATTTTGAACTCAATCAAGCCTAATCGAGTTTAAAATATATAAATTTATATTTTATATAATTTTAAACAAGAGACAAAATAGAATCTCATACTAATAAATAAAAAACTAATATATATATATATATAATCATGTGTTATAAGAAAATTTGCATCCCTACTTCTTTGTGTTATTCTATAATCATGTGGCCCCATAATCTTCAACTTGCAAAATTTCGTTGGTTGGATATTCCTATGTTCCTCTTCTTCGGTTTTAGAGTTTTTTGTTTTTTTACTTTACTGTCATTTTGCTATTTCGAAGAGTAGAGTTTCATCTTTACTTAGCAAAGTTGCAGCACAGGTAGAGAACTTCCAGTTTGATAGAATAGTTTCGTCTATTTGACGCCCTTAGCACATTAGAAAAGAAAAGATAATAAACTATTAATGTTTTAAAATTATCACGACAGCTTAAATTGCAATACTTTTGCACAAAAATTTATCTTTTTGCCAAAAACATTACAATGAGCCCACTTCTTATTTGCTGCCCAAATAGACAAACACTAGAAGCGAGCAGCCATGGTGTGATTTGATCGAAAATTTTCAAGAGCACCAAGGAGTTAGAATTATTTGGACATTGAAAGTTAGCCTCATTGAAGTTTAATGACAAGGATTCAAGCAAATGCATACACCGAAAACTCCATGACATTCTCCAGAAAAAGAACCTTCACTCTTGCAGGCTTTAACGCAGTCTGAGTGAAAGACGCAAGGGCCATGAAAAGAGCCTGATAGCTTTCCGCACAGTTGGGCGGCTTCAACTTCAACACTTATATCACCTATGAGTGACAAACAGCCAAAATGTGAATTATATACACGTTCATGCATGGGAGAAATGGACCAGGATAGAGCCTGTTTAAAAGTAGAGAATATTCATCCTTGCATTATGCCCTCAGAGTACACTTTTTTTTTTTTGGCTGGAGCGATAACATTTTTATAACCTAATTTATCCTATTCTACGGGAACGGGAGACTAAAGATGTTGTGTAAGAGGTTTGCCGGTATACAGATTTGAAATAGACTTGAAATAGATACAGTCTTCAAAATACACTTGAAAATTGAAATAGATACTTTTGCACGTCCAAATGTGTGTACAGAAGGAATATCAAAATGTTCACGAATTAATTAAGTTTCTTTTTTATTGATCTACATAAAAGAGATGGACCCTTATTTGTACGTACATCGACTTTTGGACTTATAAATGTTCAAATATGAATGAACTGCCATACAGATTTGGAAAAAAATATTCAAGAATGATTAGTTGATCAAGAAGGAAATCCAACTCGGTTTGCTAATTTATTAAATCAAAACAGAAAAAAAATAATTTTGCTACAATCAAATACTTACTGGAAAGGAAAAGAAAGAGCAAGACGATGGCGCCAATGAATTTCCTCATATCCATCCTATACTTCAGTTGCTTCTCCTTCTTATTTGCCTTTCAAGTTCAACTTTGTTAGTTTCTTTGGTGCAAATGGGCTTTTCTTATAGACATGGATTGGCAACGGTGAAAGGATCATTGAAGCATTAATTATTGATACTTATAATATTTAATATGCGTATGCCAACTTTCATACTAAAATAGGACAAAATACAACTTTACCCCCTTGAAATTTAGTGATTTTTCACATAATTTCCTATAGTTTCAAAAACTATATATAACTCCTTCATATTTGGATTAAAGTGTCAAAGTGACGGAAATGATCTTTTGTAATGGAACTCATGAAAATGTCAAAATTACC